AATTTCAGGGCGTGATGATAAGTTAATCTGTGTAATAAGTCATGTTTTTCTTTAAATATTATGTGGAAGGTCGTGGTTCGATCTCCGTGAGCGTTATAACTAAAGATGTTAAAAGATGTTGTTTGTTGTTACCCTGCCTGGCGCATGGCTGATGGACATGGGTCGGGTTTATTTTTATTTTTGTTTTTTGGTCCCGGGTATGTGTTGTAAAGCTGTATACTTTACTCGATGCATGGGAGGACCTACGGTTATAACGAACAAGACGATGAAGACACTGGGCATTCACTTGGTCATTTTCTACAGGTGATGCCGTGTAGTGAGTGAGTGAGTTTAGTTTTACGCCGCACTCAGCAATATTCCAGGTATATGGTGGTAGTGCAGTACAAGGACCTACGGTTATAACGAACAAGACTTGTTTATGAATTAGCATAAAGGAAGACACTGCGCATTCATTTGGTCATTTTCTAAAGGTCATGCTGTGTAAGGGACTGACCATGTCATATCTTGCGGATGGGACATTTTGGAGGGGCTTGACCTTTTTACTGGACCTGGATGTTTTGAAACTACATTTACAAAATCAGATATATATTTTGAAGCTACATTTACAAAATCAGATATATATTTTGAAAACTACATTTACAAAATCAGATGTATATCTTGAAGCTACATTTACAAAATCAGATATATATTTTGAAGCTACATTTACAAAATCAGATATATATTTTGAAGCTACATTTACAAAATCAGATATATATCTTGAAGCTACATTTACAAAATCAGATATATATCTTGAAAACTACATTTACAAAATCAGATGTATATCTTGAAGCTACATTTACAAAATCAGATATATATTTTGAAGCTACATTTACAAAATCAGATATATATTTTGAAGCTACATTTACAAAATCAGATATATATCTTGAAAACTACATTTACAAAATCAGATGTATATCTTGAAGCTACATTTACAAAATCAGATATATATTTTGAAGCTACATTTACAAAATCAGATATATATTTTGAAGCTACATTTACAAAATCAGATATATATCTTGAAGCTACATTTACAAAATCAGATATATATCTTGAATTAAGACTGTGGTTAGGCTTTTTATTTCATAAAAATCACACATAAAATCAACTTGCAAGATGCATTTTTGTGATGGGAACGTTCTCTATTTCTCACCAGTGACTATGACTAATACTTATGTTTGTCCACATTCCGGGACATCAAATACTGCGTCACACGACCTTTGATCAAGTTCCAACATTCAAGGACTCAGGGACCGCTCATAATTTATAGCTAAATGGGGTGGAGATGATTTTAAGGGGATGGGGGTGTCACCCATTTTGTTCTGGGGAGGTGAGGGAAATGTTTCATCAAGTTTGTGCACATGTACCAGGGGGCTGGTCATTGATTTTTTTGTGGGGGGTGGGGTGAGGGCGGGGGTGTCCACTTACCTTGTACATAAATTTTAGGGGGGTCATTCACATTGTACATGCTTCTCCATAAAAATCATCATCACCCCCTAGCCATATACTATGAGCGGTCCCTTACAGTATGAGAATATTTATGCTATACAACTTCCTTTTTTTTCTTGCATAATATTTTCCTCTGTTGTTCCGGTGAACACTTTACTTGACCGTGCATGTATTTGTGACGGGTGCCAAAGGTAGGCTAGGATACACACGCCTGGTATCTATACTATTATTTTTTAATAGTAATTCATGAACACATTCTCATACTACAGTCTGAATAGTACAATGGACTGATCTTAGGGGAGAATTCGTACGACCGTGGAATCGTTTTAGTGGCTTTCATGTGTAAGTTCTTCCTGGCCATAAATCCTGCTAGGGTCCATGCAGGTAGCAAAAGTACTATAAGTCCCCATGGTCCCTAGTATGGTGATCTTCCTTCAGTAGCTGGCGATCTATAGCCCGTGTTTATACTGTATTGTTCTTTATAGTGATAAAACTAGCATTCTAGTTTTACCTTAATATCGGTGATACTCTAGAAGTTTTACTGTCCAGCGTCGACAGGTTTTAATTTTCAAAATGTATTCATCTTTGTTTTATGAATTGTCCTCGTCGAGAAATGACTGAGATATTGACCATGTGAAAATAACATTAACTCACTCACTCTTCTTGACTAAAGGATCAGTTTTTATTGTACATATAAATTACATTCCATGCATACAGAAACGTTTTGTGTCACAGATGACACTTTCAAGGACAATTTGAGTGCAGATGGCAGAATTATAACATAAGTGTAAGTTTCTGTGTATCAAAAACTCAGTGCAAAAACATGCTTGTGTCTTTAACCTATGTACAAACAAAACACTCCGGAACTAATGTTTGTGACACTGTATACGTTAACTGTACCAGGACATATTGCAAGGTATGTCTAGAGTACACGATGCGACATAGGTCGGAACGAAGATCTAGCAATGACCCAAAATATGTCAGCCTTTCTATTTTAGTATACGAGTGCTAATTTGCTGAGTCACTGTCAAAATTTAGCGGCAGACTGTTACATGTTGTAAGTAATCACGAGCTGACCTTCTGAATTCAAGAGCGATTAGCAAAGGGAGATAACCTTGGCGCCGCTCGGCCCACGCTCGGGACGTGCCTCAAATCGCCGGATATACAATCAAAAATCTAATCTATTGTATCAAATATTCAGGTTTACATATGTATGTATGATGTTTTCCCCTAACCCTCATTAAAATTCCTGATTATGAGACTGAGGACTTGACTGCAGATGCGAGTAGTGCAGATGGACGGGTTGGCAAACATGACTACGTGACAAAGGAACGGGAAAATCTAGTTCTGATCTACTAGGGTGTATAGGCAACACAAATACACAAACAAATTAGCTGTAGTTTTTACAAACAACTCATGACCTAACTTCAAAGGGCAGAGCACATAGACAATAGAAGGTTAAAATTCCATACACGTCTTGGGTAGGGTCTCAGTCGCAACAAGACGACATGTTTTCACTCTGACAAAAGCCATTATCACGGTATATACCAGCTAAGCACCAAAGTCGCTTACGTTTTGCAAGATTTCTGCTTGAGTCTTAGACTTCCTAATTTAACATGTGTGCAGAAGAAGATAGTGTTGGCAGTGATCACAGTATGTAGGGCTCACGCATACCTACATACCTTGAGTACAGGGCGATCCTGATGTAATATGCTTTGGGTGCTTTCTGGCAGTAGACGCCATGAGGATTTACCATGATCATATAGTCACAAAACTTGAGTGTGGGTTAATTCCATAATGCGCAGATATCATCGGCTGTGATCGTTTCTTAATATGACAAAGCCGAGTACCTTCACATGTGGGATTTACCAGATATGCCGTTAGGACTGGGTACAGCACACCGTAGGTTTTATACAAGGTATAAGTGTCATAGTCATACTTACACAAGCATCGTGTATGATCATGTCTAGCCATAGTCGTAGAGAGGGAGGGTGGGAGATAGCGAACAAGACAGAGGTGGGCGAGAGAGAGAGTGTGTGTGTGTGTGAGAGAGAGAGAGAGCAAGAGAGAGAGAGAGGGAGGGAGAGAGTGAGGGAGCAGGAGGGTGGGGAAAGAGAGAGAGAGCAAGAGAATGAGAGAAGAGAGGAAGAGAGCAGGAGAGGGGAGAGAGAGAGAGAGAGCAAGAGAATGAGAGAGAGCAGGAGAGTGGGAGAGAGAAGAGAGAGAGAGAGAGAGAGAGAGGAAGAGAGTGGGGAGAGAGAGAGAGCAAGAGAATGAGAGAGAGAGGAAGAGAGCAGGAGAGTGGGGAGAGAGAGAGAGAGCAAGAGAATGAGAGAGAGAGGAAGAGAGCAGGAGAGTGGGGAGAGAGAGAGAGAGCAAGCGAGAGAATGAGAGAGAAGAAAGCAGAGAGTGGAGAGAGAGAGAGAGCAAGAGAATGAGAGAGAGAGGAAGAGAGAGGAGAGAGAGAGAGAGAGAGAGAGAAAGAGAGAGAGAGAGAAGAGAGCAGGAGAGTGGGGAGAGAGAGAGAGCAAGAGAATGAGAGAGAGAGAAGAGAAGACAGGAGGGTGGGGAGAGAGAGCGAGGCAAGAGAATGAAGAGAGAGGAGAAGAGAGCAAGAGAGTGAGAGAGAGAGAGAGCAAGAGAGAGGGAGAGAGAGAACGAGAAGAGAGAGAGAGCAAGAGAGTGAACAGAGAGGAAAGAGAGCAGAGAGGAAGAGAGAGAAACGAGAGAAGAGAGAGAGAACGAGAGAGAGAGAGAGAGAGAGAGAGAGAGAATGAGGAGAGAGAGAGAGAGAAAGAGAATGAGAGAGGAAGAGAGGCAGAGAGGAGAGAGAGAGAGAGAAGAGAGAGAGAGGAGAGAGAAGAGAGAGGAGAGAGGAGAGAGAGAGAGAGAGGAAGAGAGAGAGAGAGAGAAGAGAGAGGAGAGTGGGAGAGAGAGAGCAAGAGAGAGAATGAGAGAGAGAGGAGAGCAGGAGAAGAGAGGAGACAGAGAGGAAAGAGGAATAGGAGAGAGAGAGAGAAGAAGAGAGAGGAGAGAGAGAGAGAGAGAGAGAGAAGAGAAACGAGAACGAGAGAGAGAGAGAATGAGAGAGAGAAGAGAGAGAGAGAGAGAGAGAGGGAGTGAGAGAGAGAGAGAGAGAGAGAAAGGGGAGAGGAGAGAATGAGAGAGAGGATGAGAGAGAGGAGAGAGAGAGAGGAGAGTGGAGAGAGAGAGAGAACAAAGAGAGAGAGAGGGGAGAGAGAAGAAGCAGAGAGAGCAACAGAGGAGAGAGGAGAGAGAGAGAGAAGAGGAGAAGAGAATGAGAGAGAGGAAGAATGAGGAGGAGCAGGAACGTGGGGAGAAGAGAGAGAGAAAGAAAAGAGAGAGAGGAAGAGAGAGAGAGGAATGGAGAGAGAGAGAGAGAACAAGAGAGCAGGAGAGAGAGAGACAGGGGAGAGAGAGAGAGAGAGAGAGAATGAGAGAGAGGAAAGAGGAAGAGAGTAGTGAGAGAGAAGGAAGAGAGGAGAATGAGGGAGGAGATGGAGCACGAGAAAGATTGGGAGAAAGAGAGAGAGAGAGAGAGAGAGAGAGAGAGAGAGAGAGAGAGAGAGAGAGAGAGGGAGGAGAAGGAGAGAGAGGGATGGAAGAGGAGTGAGGGAACAGACAGACATACATTTATCTCGGAGAGACAGCTAGGAGAAAACATGTTTTCATCTTCTGCATCATGTTTCAAAATTCAAGTTTCATGTTCCATATCTCAATTTTCATTTTCCACTATTCACGTTAAAAGGTTAACGTTACATTATCAAGTATATATATATAGCTGTATGCATCAATTTCGTCAGCAGGTTTCATGCATCATGTTTTATGCAACCTCTTTCAATTACCGAAAATACGTTTACGAATAACGCTTGCCTTCAAAATAATGGGACTCGTTCCTTTCTTTCACTTTGGTATTTTGGATCTTTGAAACTTAATGTTAAAAGAAACAGGGTATTTCATATTAGGAAACAATGATTCGTCAAAACGTGAATACCAAGCACATCTATACCAACAACAATAGTAACACCCTGTGGATAACCAAAAATAGTAACACCCCTGTGGATAACCAACAATACGCCCCTGTGGATAACCAACAATAGTAACGCCCATGTGGATAACCAACAATAGTAACGCCCCTGTGGATAACCAACAATAAGTAACGCCCTGTGGATAACCAACAATAGTGGATAACCAACAATAGTAACGCCCCTGTGGATAACCAACAATAGTAACCAACAATACCCCCTGTGGATAACCAACAATAGTAACGCCCCTGTGGATAACCAACAATAGTAACGCCCCTGTGGATAACCAACAATAGTAACGCCCCTGTGGATAACCAACAATAGTAACGCCCCCAACAATGTGGATAACCAACAATAGTAACGCCCCTGTGGATAACGAACAACAATAGTAACGCCCTGTGGATAACCAACAATAGTAACGCCCCTGTGGATAACCAACAATAGTAACACCCTGTGGATAACCAACAATAGTAACGCCCTGTGGATAACCAACAATAGTAACGCCCCTGTGGATAACCAACAATAATAACGTCCCTGTGGATAACCAATAACAATAGTGGAACAACCCTGTGGATAACCAACAATAGTAACGCCCCTGTGGATAACCAACAATAGTAACGCCCCTGTGGATAACCAACAATACGCCCCTGTGGATAACCAACAATAGTAACGTAAGTGGATAACCAACAATAACGCCCATGTGGATAACAAACAACGCCCCAATGTGGATAACCAACAATAGTAACGCCCTGTGGATAACCAACAAACAATAGTAACGCCCCTGTGGATAACCAACAATAGTAACGCCCCTGTGGATAACCAACAATAGTAACGCCCCTGTGGATAACCAACAATAGTAACACCCCTGTGGATAACGAACAATACGCCCCTGTGGATAACCAACAATAGTAACGCCCCTGTGGATAACCAAAATAGTAACAATAGTGGATAACGCCCCCCCTGTGGATAACCAACAATAGTAACGCCCCTGTGGATAACCAACAATAGTAACACCCCTGTGGATAACCAACAATAGTAACGCCCCTGTGGATAACCAACAATAGTAACGCCCCTGTGGATAACCAACAATAGTAACGCCCCTGTGGATAACCAACAATAGTAACGCCCCTGTGGATAACCAACAATAGTAACGCCCTGTGGATAACCAACAATAGTAACGCCCTGTGGATAACCAACAATAGTAACGCCCTGTGGATAACCAACACCCCTGTGGATAAACTAACGCCCCTGTGGATAACCAACAATAGTAACGCCCTGTGGATAACCAACAATAGTAACGCCCCTGTGGATAACCAACAATAGTAACGCCCCTGTGGATAACCAACAATAGTAACGCCCCTGTGGATAACCAACAATAGTAACGCCCCTGTGGATAACCAACAATACATAACCAACAATAACGCCCCTGTGGAAACGCCCCTGTGGATAACCAACAATAGTAACGCCCTGTGGATAACCAACAAACGCCCCTAGTAACGCCCAACAATAGTAACGCCCCTGTGGATAACCAACAATAGTAACGCCCTGTGGATAACCAACAATAGTAACGCCCTGTGGATAACCAACAATAATAACGCCCCTGTGGATAACCAACAATAGTAACGCCCCTGTGGATAACCAACAATAGTAACGCCCTGTGGATAACCAACAATAGTAACGCCCCTGTGGATAACCAACAATAGTAACGCCCTGTGGATAACCAACAATAGTAACGCCCTGTGGATAACCAAAATAGTAACGCCCCTGTGGATAACCAACAATAGTAACACCCCTGTGGATAACCAACAATAGTAACGCCCCTGTGGATAACCAACAATAGTAACGCCCCTGTGGATAACCAACAATAGTAACGCCCTGTGGATAACCAACAATAGTAACGCCTATGTGGATAACCAAGAATAGTAACACCCCTGTGGATAACGAACAATACGCCCCTGTGGATAACCAACAATGTGGATAACCAACAATAGTAACGCCCCTGTGGATAACCAACAATAGTAACGCCCCTGTGATAATAACCAACAATAGTAACGCCCTGTGGATAACCAACAATAGTAACGCCCCTGTGGATAACCAACAATAGTAACGCCCTGTGGATAACCAACAATAGTAACGCCCCTGTGGATAACCAACAATAGTAACGCCCCTGTGGATAACCAACAATAGTAACGCCCCTGTGGATAACCAACAATAGTAACGCCCCTGTGGATAACCAACAATAGTAACGCCCCTGTGGATAACCAACAATAGTAACGCCCCTGTGGATAACCAACAATAGTAACGCCCCTGTGGATAACCAACAATAGTAACGCCCCTGTGGATAACCAACAATAGTAACGCCCCTGTGGATAACCAACAATAGTAACGCCCCTGTGGATAACCAACAATAGTAACGCCCCTGTGGATAACCAACAATAGTAACGCCCCTGTGGATAACCAACAATAGTAACGCCCTGTGGATAACCAACAATAGTAACGCCCCTGTGGATAACCAACAATATAACCAACAATAGTAACGCCCCTGTGGATAACCAACAATAGTAACAATAGTAACGCCCAATGTGGATAACCAACAATAGTAACGCCCCTGTGGATAACCAACAATAGTAACGCCCCTGTGGATAACCAACAATAACGCCCCTGTATACCAACAATAGTAACAACCCTGTGGATAACCAACAATAGTAACGCCCCTGTGGATAACCAACAATAGTAACGCCCCTGTGGATAATAACCAACAATAGTAACGCCCCTGTGGATAACCAACAATAGTAACGCCCCTGTGGATAACCAACAATAGTAACGCCCCTGTGGATAACCAACAATAGTAACGCCCCTGTGGATAACCAACAATAGTAACGCCCCTGTGGATAACCAACAATAGTAACGCCCCTGTGGATAACCAACAATAGTAACGCCCCTGTGGATAACCAACAATAGTAACGCCCCTGTGGATAACCAACAATAGTAACGCCCATGTGGATAACCAACACTAGTAACGCCCCTGTGGATAACCAAAAATAGTAACACCCCTGTGGATAACCAACAATAGTAACACCCCTGTGGATTACCAACAATAGTAACGCCCCTGTGGATAACCAACAATAGTAACGCCCCTGTGGATAACCAACACTAGTAACGCCCCAATGTGGATAACAAACAATAGTAACGCCCCTGTGGATAACCAACACTAGTAACGCCCATGTGGATAACCAACAATAGTAACGCCCTGTGGATAACCAACAATAGTACCGTCCCTGTGGATAACCAACAATAGTAACGCCCCTGTGGATAACCAACAATAGTAACGCCCCTGTGGATAACCAACAATAGTAACGCCCCTGTGGATAACCAACAATAGTAACGCCCCTGTGGATAACCAACAATAGTAACGCCCCTGTGGATAACCAACAATAGTAACGCCCCTGTGGATAACCAACAATAGTAACATAACCAACAATAGTAACGCCCCTGTGGATAACCAACACTATAGTAACGCCCCTGTGGATAACCAAAATAGTAACACCCCCTGTGGATAACCAACAATAGTAACACCCCTGTGGATAACCAACAATAGTAACGCCCCTGTGGATAACCAACAATAGTAACGCCCCTGTGGATAACCAACAATGGAACGCCCCTATACCAACAATAGTAACGCCCCTGTGGATAACCAACAATAGTAACGCCCATGTGGATAACCAACAATAGTAACGCCCCTGTGGATAACCAACAATAGTAACGCCCCTGTGGATAACCAACAATAGTAACGCCCCTGTGGATAACCAACAATAATAACCAACAATATAACGCCCCTGTGGATAACCAACAATAGTAACGCCCCTGTGGATAACCAACAATAGTAACGCCCCTGTGGATAACCAACAATAGTAACGCCCCTGTGGATAACCAACAATAGTAACGCCCCTGTGGATAACCAACAATAGTAACGCCCCTGTGGATAACCAACAATAGTAACGCCCCTGTGGATAACCAACAATAGTAACGCCCCTGTGGATAACCAACAATAGTAACGCCCCCAACAATGTGGATAACAACAATAGTAACACCAATAATAGTAACGCCCTGTGGATAACCAACAATAGTAACGCCCTTGTGGATAACCAACAATAGTAACACCCCTGTGGATAACCAACAATAGTCACGCCCCTGTGGATAACCAACAATAGTAACACCACTGTGGATATTTTTGGTGGCATCTTGTACCCCTTTTGAGTTTACTTTTATTGTTTGCAGATAAAATATATTTTGCATTATTTCCAGGGGAGTAATTTTATCCTGAGGGTTAGTAAGTTGTTGCTGACGGGAAATATTTAACCACGAGATGATTTGATAACTGGTTAATTTCACTCAAGAGTGTATCAGTTCTAAGATCAGGTCACTCTTGGGTGAAATTCTGTAGCAGCGATACGTGATTTTGCTCTCGAGGGTGGCGTTACATTATAGAAGCTTTCCATTCAGGATGAAACAAGTGACCTGGGAACCTTTCGGGGCGGCTGAGTTATGTTTAAACAACACCCCTGCAGCTTCACCAGACATTTAAAACTGGCATCATAATAGTCAACGAGTGGGGAATCGAACCCAGGCCTTCGGTGAGAAACGCTTTAACCACTAGGCTATTCTGTGCCCTTCAAGATGCGAGAGAGGTATCTTTGCTATGTAATTAAACACAACACAAAACAGCATCAAGTTTAGACAGGCTTACGATAGTCGTGATGTTAAGATCCGTTTGTGAAAGTGGATTCAGACAATAGCCTTGGAACGGCAGGTTTTCGTTTAGATTTGGCACACACACGCACATGCACATGCACACGCACACACACACACACACACACACACACACACACACACACACACACACACACACACACACACCAATGAAAGCCGCCATTTTGGTTTCTCTACGATTGATTTTAGCGATCCTAAGTTGGTCATGAGCAACTTAGAGTTTGGATCTTAACTTTACGGTTGACTTGGGTAAGACTAGTTAGCGGAACTGTATGCTGATCGTAACTGCACTCTAAGATGGGATTTTAGGGGTTTACGATTAGCGTAGGCTAAGATCGTTTAGTGGAAGGGCACTGGTTGCTAAAACCCAAGGAATGTATCAAGTAAATTAAGATCTTCTCAACAGGACTGTATATGCATGTTATCTGTTGTCGTTTCTGCTGACATTCCGAAAAGGCTTTTCCTTTCCTTAAGCACCCCTTTCAGGAAGTACTATTTTTGACGACAGCAGGATATGTTGATCGCTAGCTGTATCTTACTTAAACTGCATATGTTACTAGGAGGATGTAACGCAATAGCTGCATGAAATACGACGCCCTCCTTCAATTGTGTACTGTCACCGTCGTGTTGATCCGTGAGACAACAATGACTGCGCAAGTAGACACCACGGAGTGTTGAAGGCAGTGTTGAAGTTGGATGGTCGGCAGTGTTCGGCAGCTGGACTCCCAGATTGTTCTAGGGTTTTGCTCGTGCCAGCACTGAAACATATATAGCAATGTGGAGTCAACAACAACCACCAGAGACAGTCAACTACAACCACCGGAGACTGTCAACCAAAACCGACAAAGACTGTCAACCACAACCACTAGAGACTATCAACCACAACCACCAGAGACTGACAACTACAACCACCAGAGACTGACAACTACAACCACCGGAGACTGTCAACCAAAACCGACAAAGACTGTCAACCACAACCACTAGAGACTATCAACCACAACCACCAGAGACTGACAACTACAACCATCAGAGACTGACAACTACAACCACCAGAGACTGACAACTACAACCACCAGAGACTGTCAACCACAACCACTAGAGACTGTCAACTACAACCACCAGAGACTGTCAACTACAACCACCAGAGACTGTCAACCACAACCACCAGAGACTGTCAACCACAACCACCAGAGACTGTCAACTACAACCACCAGAGACTGTCAACCACAACCACTAGAGACTGTCAACTACAACCACCAGAGACTGTCAACTACAACCACCAGAGACTGTCAACTACAACCACTAGAGACTGTCAACTACAACCACCAGAGACTGTCAACCACAACCACTAGAGACTGTCAACTACAACCACCAGAGACTGTCAACCACAACCACCAGAGACTGTCAACTACAACCACCAGAGACTGTCAACTACAACCACCAGAGACTGTCAACTACAACCACCAGAGACTGTCAACCACAACCACCAGAGACTGTCAACTACAACCACCAGAGACTGTCAACCACATCCACCAGAGACTGTCAACCACAACCACCAGAGACTGTCCACCACAACCACTAGAGACTGTCAACTACAACCACTAGAGACTGTCCACCACAACCACCAGAGACTGTCAACCACATCCACCAGAGACTGTCAACCACATCCACCAGAGACTGTCCACCACAACCACCAGAGACTGACACCTACAACCACCAGAGACTGACAACTACATCCACCAGAGACTGTCAACCACAACCACCAGAGACTGTCAACCACAACCACTAGAGACTGTCAGCCACAACCACTAGAGACTGTCAACTACAACCACCAGAGACTGTCAGCCACAACCACTAGAGACTGTCAACTACAACCACCAGAGACTGTCAACCACAACCACTAGAGACTGTCAACTACAACCACCAGAGACTGTCAACCACAACCACTAGAGACTGTCAGCCACAACCACCAGAGACTGTCCACCACAACCACCAGAGACTGTCAACTACAACCACTAGAGACTGTCAACCACAAACTACAAACACCAATGTCACTCATCTTCAAACAGCATTGAATGTCCGCAAATAACAAAGTTCACCACAAACAGTTGCATACGACTGTCTCACAAACAACAATGAAAGTCCACTGAAATCTGTCACGAGTCACCTCATGTCAGCATGGCGCATGCTCTCTTCTGGCAATCTGGCCTTGACACAAAGATCGCGTCGCTAAATGAGACTTTGAGATCTCGTGAGAGTTCACTTCCGACGATTGTCAGTTTCGTCCTGTTATTGCGGCTGGTCCACCGTTCCCTACTGACACTGCATGCAAACTCTGCTTCCGAGCCATTGCTGCGCGGAGAATGTGTCACGAACTGGTGAACCAGTGCACATCGTGCAAGGGGTTAAAGGTTATTGCGACAGGCAGCATTGCATTGTGTCGATATTCCCTAATTAATGTTTTGCAATGCAGTCGACATACTAATTAGCCGGACAGGAACAACTACACACAGCCATTAAGAGCTACACACAAAAACTTAACTCTACAAAGGTCTATGTACACAAATGCATGCATAAATATATCACCACACACGTCTACATACAGCTTCACATATCCAAGTGAGTGAGTGAGTGAGTGAGTGAGTGAGTGAGTGAGTGAGTGAGTGGTGAGTGAGTGAGTATGGTTTAAGCCGCTTTTAGCAATGTTCCAGCAATACCACGGCGTTAGACCCCAGAGTAAGTGAGTGAGTTCAGTTCTACCCCGCACTCAGCAATATTACAGCTACATGGCGGCGGTGTGTAAACAATCGAGTCTGGACCAGACAATCCAGTGATCAACAGCATGAGCATCGATCTACGCAACTGGGAACCGATGACATGTGTCAACCAAGCCCTGGGATTTGGGGATGGGAGATGGAACTTTACGACAGGTCTGCGGTTGAGAGTTTATGAAGTCGCGTGTTAATTAGGATATTGTGTGGTAGAAGAATGGAGTCCGCGGTAGATAGAATGTACTGGGCACAAGGTGGTCGTATTTGGTCGGTTTGGAGAGTTGACTGAGGTAGGATTCATGGTATAATACACGTAAACGTTTAGGGTCCGTACAATGGCATTGTTGATTTCCAACAACATCAATATTTCACAGGCATGATGACAGGGAGCTGTGTGTAACAGCACACCCCCTGATCCAATAACCAATGACAACACAGCTGGACCAGGAAGAATATCCACGGCGTCACAACCGGAAGTAGCATCACTGACGAGTACTATTGGTTAAAGGCTCGTAATGCGGGACTCGACCACAAGAGCCAGGCTCCGTACCCAAGATCACATCACGGATCAGGAGAATCTGTTGATACACGAACAGCCGCTGCGTATTATTTACTTCTCTGTGTTGCATTAACGGATGTAAACAATCGCGTCTATTCAAGCGCCAAGAACTTCTAATTCGGCATTTACTTATTCACATTGGAAGATACGTCAAAGTGTGTGTTTTCTTGAAACATTTCAACTGTGAGCTACCACTTTGGGAACTGTGGTGTGTAACAGCGGGCTGAGCCCCAGCTTTGTTGTTACCAGGACTTGAAGAGATAAGACAAGCCACGCTCATCAACTCTTGTTCTGATCGCCATGGCTAGATACATGTCGCTTACAACATTAACACTCTGTCTCAGTACTGCTGCAGGTAGGTGTTTTCGTCTCTCTCCGGGCTCGTAATGAGAGTTTGTTTGTTATGTAACGCCGCACTCAGCTATTTGCTGCGGTCTGTAAATAATCGAGTCTGGATCAGACAATCCAGTGATCAACAACTTGAGCATTGATCTCATGACTGAAGGAGTATGGTCTTACGCCTCTTGCAGCAATATTCCAGCAATATTCCAGCAATATCACGGCGGGGGGCACCAAGAATGGGCTTCACACATTGTACCCATGTGGGGAATCGAACCTGGGTCATTAGCGTGACGGGCGGACGCCTTAACCTTTAAGCTACCCCAGCTCGTAATGAGACAAACCGAATTCGATTCCTCGTAGGTTATGATGCGAGATGTGTCGTAAAAATAAAAAATGTGTCTCGGAAATATTGTTACAAGCAGCTAAATTACAAAACCAAGCCCCGATTATAACTTCGCTGGCTGATGTGGTTTAACTTTTTCTCGTGGAACTTAATTGTATCTACTCAGTAGTACTACTACATGTTATTTCACAAACCTTGTCTTCAGCAAACATCGTACTTTACATACATCTAGTTTCACAATCATCATATTTCACCAATGTTACATACATCTAGTTTCATTAAAATCATATTTCATTAATATCGCATTTTACAAAGATCCCGTTTATCAAACATTACATTTTACTAACATCCTTTTAAAAGTTACCGCATTTCACCACATCTTGTTTCACACACATCCTGTTTACCCAATATCTTATTTCATAAACATATTTCACAAACGCTACATATCTGGTGGTCCCACGGGCAGTATGTCTTCTACCAGTTAGGTTAATGTTTCGAGGGGCGGTGGGGTAGTCCAGTGGTTAAAGCGTTCGCCCGTCACAATGTGTGAAGCCCATTTCTGGTCTCCCCCGCCCCTATACAGCTGGAATATTGCTAAAAGCGGCGTAAAACCAAACTCACTCACTCACTAATGTCTCGGAACGTCTCTCACAGAACAGAACAGAACTTTTATTACACTCAGCCCGGGATACCCGGCATGCGAGGTACAAAAATACAGTGGAGAATACAAGAGATGGCGGGATGGTTTACAAGGAAGACAGTACAGTTCTCATGATAGTATTACAGAATATACGTAGTGTTTCTAAAACACTAATTCGTTTACAGTAAAACAATTCCTTAAATTTTAACAAATTCGTTTTTTTAACATAATGGTTTGGGCTAAAAGTTTTCCGATGATGTTTGAAGAAAGGGCAGAGAAAAATGTAATGAAATTCATCTCCAACATCACACGTGTCGCAAAGGTTACACGGTCTTTTTCGGGTGGAATTTTGTGCCACGAACCTACTTCTGTAGGTAAACGATGGCAAGAAGTTCTAAACATGAGAAATTTAAGAGCCAAGGAGAAAGGGATATAATATATGAAGCATTTTTCAAGGACAAGTTCAGTGTCGAACACCTGGTATGTTATGAACGGTTCTTGATCTTGGGATTTGGTAAATCCATTTGTGTTCAGGGGGACAAGTTGTCTTAGGAGCAAGAATCTCTTTGAATCCCATTGGCTCGCTGGAAACCTATGATGTGAGAGATCAAAACCAACTCCTAGGTTTTAATTGAAACGGTAAGGTCCCAACAGAGGGAAATTGGGGAGACGGCCCATAGCCTAGTAAGCGAAGTGTTGCACATCGGCCCAATATATTAGAAGTTTTCAATAAAGCGATATCTTACAGTCGTCTTCGGGAATAGAAAAACAAAGTTATATCAATCTTCAAAACTTGTACACGTATAATAATTCATAGTCAAGGGCTATTCCTCAGAAAATCCCCGGGCATTCTGTTGAAACTCCCCGGGATTTCCTGGAAATTGCCTGCAAAACTGCCCGTAGAGGTTTACTCGGTAAGAGGAAAACCTGGCAAGACAATAGAGTGACGTCTCTGGAGGTGTATAAACTTGGGTTTGAATCCTGTTGCATCCTGAATATTTCCGTAGGTTTTCCAGCACCATAGTGGCAATCCTAAACCTAGTACACCGCAGTACACCTAATACACCACAATGCAAAAGTGCTCCACAGTTCACCTGGTACACCACGCTGCACCTCCTACCCCGCACTCCAGCTAGTTCGCCAATCCTTAGAGTTTAAACAGAGGCTGTCCAGTCAGCCTCATCTGATAATTCACCCTGTGTTGTATTCCCGTCCGTGATTACTTATCCACCCGTTTCTCTTCCCAGCTTGTCCAGGGATTGTCAACTATACCACCAGCCAGACAATCAGCTCTCACGACTACCCCAAGCCCTACCCACAAGGTGTCACCTGTACCTGGGTGTGGCGGGCCGACTCTGGACTCTGGGGTGTCAACTTCACCGATGTGGACCTCAATGGGGATAATGACGGCCTCACCATCGATTTAGGAAGGAATCTCAATAGGTAATTTCCAAAGTAGAGAAAATATTAAGTATTTCACCATGGAATATTCCAATAAAAAATGCGTTACGAGTGAGTGTCGACAAGATCGGTGGTTCATCTCGGTGACCTTACTACATGGATGTCGTCATGCTTACAATACTTGCTAATGCCTTCTGATAACAGCTTTTTAGGGTTTTTTACATGCCTAGTATTTAGGGCTGCGCAATATAACCGGTTTACCGGTATTTACCGGTTCAGACATAAAAACGATACGTATTGCGATACGCTGATCGAAAACCGGTATTTTGACATGCATTCGGAAAACTTCGTAACACTCGGAAATCTTCGGATATTTCCGTTTTTTTATTTGTTCTTTTCCCTGTTTCATTAGTGCCAAATGTTACTTACATTTTTATTTTGTCATGATTAAAAGTTTTTATAAAAGGTTAATCAATCATAATGATTTTGTTGTGTTATTGTTTTATAATCAAGCATTAACTCGATTATAAGTAGTTTTTGTTAAAAAAATAATCCTTGCAATAAATTGCAATACATATCGCAATATATGCTTCCGCATCGCAATATATCGCAATATGAAAATTCTCTGCAATACCCACCCCTACTAGTATAGTTTGGTTGGTTGGTTGGTTGTCAGTTGGCATCGAGCTAGCGCTACCTGTAGGGCAGAAAGATGCCTCGCAAACACCCCGTGTCATTACTGAGTTCCAACAGTGCTTTGATAAAGATTTCGTCCTTATTTTGCCTTTTACGATGAAATCTATTCCGGTGGATAATCGAGACTGGGTATTGTCTGGCGTTGAAGTTTTATATTTTCTGTGTTCATGTAACATCACTGTTTTTTCTAACACGGGGCGGTTGGGTAGCCTAGTGCTTAAAGCTTTTGCTCGTCACGTCGAAGACGCGGGTTCGATTCCCCATATGAGTACAATGTGTGAAGCCCATTTCTGGTGTTCCCAGCCATGATATTGCTGGAATATTGCTAAAAGCGGCGTAAAACCAGAGTCACTCACTCACTTTTTATGACATCACTCAACTTGTGTATTGGAGTAGGCTTCATAACATTACAGAATTTCTTTATTGGTTGGACGCCCAAACGCCTCCATCCTTACAAATCAGGCTGAATTTTCTCTCAGGTGAAATTCCTCTCTATAAAATAAACTTGGAATATTAAAAAAATACTTTCAGCCAATGATGTTTAGTCTCTTTGCATTTCGGCGATTCCAAAGGACCAATGGACATAGCTGTAGCAAATCAGGAGCCGTGTGACTATGTAGGTAATCCAAAATAACTGTCCCGCTTTAATGCTCAAAACAAGTTTTCTATAAATCATTCTATCATCATTCAAAATGGCGCCGTTGACATGCGAGTGCATTCGCAACTAATTTAGTCGTGTCATTCCGGCAAGCCGGATGGCTTCGTGTAAGTCACGAAAAGAAGCGAGTAGTTATGAATGATGCGAGAGATCGAATCAGAAGTTTGATGCCTTATATTGGCAAATATTAACCCCTGAATATTTTGATAGCGAAAATGGAGCGCACTTGTAGGTATACGTACAAAGAATTCATTCATACAACTTTTTTGTGCGCAATAATCGTAACGGGTGCGCGAAAGTGAGAAAGGGATTTCCTCCATAGCGGCCTATCTTTGGCATGGCAAAGACCTTTGATATGAAATGTCATATACTGCATAGACGGATCCATTTTTGTCCTGATAGTTTATTAAATGACCATTGAAACTCTCGTGGAAACCGGTGAAAATGAACTGTGCACCCCCCTACCCCCGCCCCCTTTCTATGTCTAATCGAAGCAAGTCTCTAATAAACGGGGGTATGGTCATCGTGATGCTCTTGAAATCCGCTTCAACCCCCAAATCATCTCACGTCCGTCTCACTAAATTTCTTAATTTACTCACGTGCCTCCAACGTTGCCTTTAAAAGACTGAATTTCTGCACTGAATTTCTTAATTACATGACGCTTCATAACATTTCTGAATTTCTTTATGTATTGTGTTTCATAACATTACTGAATTTCGTTATTCTATAACGTTTCATAACATTACTGAATTTCGTTATTCTCTAACGTTTCATAACATTACTGAATTTCGTTATTCTATAATGTTTCATAACATAACCGATATTCTGAATTGCATAACATTTCATAACATTACTGAAATTCTGCATTGCATCACGTTTCATGACAGGACAGATTTTATTTATTACATAACGTGTTAGTTCCGTTATAAATATCTTGACACAGATCCTGCTTTCGTACGTTCCCATGCTTGGGAGTCGCGGACAGCTGGTAACGGGGCGATAACTGCGGAGTAAGACACTTCCGTGATGACGTCACACAGCCATGACCCAGTATCCGTATTAATGGCGGTAGCTTTTCACTAAAAGCGGTCAAGAGCCTTGTGGTTGATGTAAAACTTACTGTCATCCACCGACTTCTCTTTTATGATCTTCCCGTGAAGATCCGGGTTAGAACTCATCTTCAGTAGCCCATGATTGTCGTAAGAGGCGACTAACGGGATCGGGTGGTCAGGCTCGCTGGCTTGGTTGACACATGTCATCGGTTCCCAATTGCACAAATCGATGCTGATGCTTGTTGATCACTGGATTGTCTGGTCCAGACTCGATTATTTACAGACCGCCGCCACATAGCTGGAATATTGCTGAGTGCGGTGTAAAAACTCACTCACTCTTGGTAGATGTCCCTTTAACCCTAGTAGTAGTAGAGGGCCCATCCTCCTGGGCCGTGTTCGAATCCGGATTCGACCCTTAATGGATCCTTGGTTTAAAACACGACTAGCTGTGTCAGGCTTGAGTATTACTGCCGATTTGAACAGTATTGCGGATTCAGACATTGACTACTACCGGGTCCCCACGAAACACGGATCATAACGGGGTGGATCTGAAATTCAAATATTTTTCATCTGAATATGATCCAAGACACTGTCTCTCCAGAAGACATTGTTACCATATTTAAAATAGCCTAAGGATGAACAGTGTGGGTGAGCGACTGATGGAACCATTCTGGCTCGGTGGGATCTAGTTCGTATCCCGACTTCCCCTGATTGTGTTTGTCGGTTTGTCGGTACATACGAATGCTCGTTCGTTCTTGGGGGTATCCTAGTGGTTAAGGCGTTCGCTCATCACATCGATGAACCGGGTTCGATTACCCACAAGGGGACAATGTGTGAAGTCAATCTCTGGTGTCTCCCGCCGTGTTACAGTTGGAATATTGCTACAAGCGGCGTAAAAGTAAACTCACTCACTCACTCACCTTCATGGAAAACGTCTGAGACATAACCTTGTCTTTTCATCCCACTTCAAGCTTACGCGCCCCGGTTAAAATAAAATCGACGTTAAACCGAACTCACTCACTCAGTCAAAGCCTGCAGTTGTTTACGCATTACTACAGTTCCTGCTGTAGTCAAATATCGTCGCCTACTCTCCCTGTCAGAGATCGGCTGGAGAAACTTGAGACGCGGAACTGCAACAAAACGCGGAAGCACTTGTACATTTCTTTGAGTGGCATTTTAGAACTTGGGAAGTAAAATAATGACAATTATATGGATATCAGCTTTCTGTATTTTGTGAGTACAACGTTTCGGTATTGATTCTTTGGGACATACCTGCTAGACAACGATACAAGAATCTGTACCGAAACGTCGCAAAAATATAAATATATATTTGCATAGGTACCTCGAGCGATGTGATATCAAACGAGAAAATTCGTAAAATCCTATGTCAATTTCTTAATCTTATCCTCCTCCTCCTCCTCCTCCTCATCATCATCATTATCATCATCATTATCCATTTTTATTCCATCATTGAATAGTACCTTAGTGAATGAGTGAGTGAGTTTAGTTTTACGCTGCACTCATCAATATTCCAGCTATATGGCGGCTGTCGGTAAATAATCCAGTCTTGACCAGACAATCCAGTGATCAACAACATGAGCATCGATCTACACAATTGAGATACGATGACATGTGTCAACCAAGTCCCAAGGCTGTCCACCCAATCCTGTTAGTCGCTCTTACGACAAGCACGGGTTTAAGAAGATCAATTCTAATCCGGATCTTCACGGGTCGAATAATGCCTTGAATTTGGCGGCTATGTGAATGAGAAAAATTATGTAGCAATATTCCAGCAATACCGCGGCAGAATAACAAAGTATGTTTTTCACTCATCCAATACCGGTAGGGAGGCGTTACTGGTAGACTGCCCTCTGTTTGACGCTGGTACAATATATTGGAATCCCTCTGACGTCCTGGTGTGTTTCTATTTTAGTCTTTACGTCCATGGGCCACACAACATTATCTACAGCCCGGGGCCCAGTCTGAAGATTACCTTCACTTCCGGGATCTCTACCACTAGGGGGCGCGGCTTCCGCATAAATGTTCTCTACGGCAAGAACAAACGTAAGTTATATATATCAGCAAGGGGACATAACTCATTCTTTTATTCTTTTAATTTCCAATAGAAGTAAATACATTCATTTATCTCATTTACATTGACATATTGCAGATTATCAATGTGAAAGCTGAACCTTTATCCTAGTTTCGGAAAACTAATGCAAACTAATACCTCTCTGCAGTGTATGGTGTTTAGTTACATCACTTCCGGTTTAGCTGCACCGTTTATAATGCTTATGATGAAGACAGGAACCTGTCGTGCTGCATTTATTTAGATGATTTAAATCTAGGGCATTATGTTGTGTACATCAAGACTTAACGATTTCCTTTTTCTTCTTCAGATGACCTTGACCGCCAGTTTCGGCGTGCCCCAATTCCGCCCCCCACAACAGGGTCACAAGGTACATATGTGGTATTTCCCGATGTTAGTTCTTTTGTACATATCGCCATACGTTTTCTTGTTATTGAAATTGGGATAAGTGAATTCTGTTTAAATTAATTGAAGAAATATTTAATTTAAGTTGTACCACGACCCGAAAATAAAGTCGCTGTTCTGAAAAGAATTGGTAATAGGTATGAAATAATGGATACTGCAGTATCTGAAACTAAACTGAAGATTCCACGAATCTTCTTTAGATTGTTCTGGAATTATGGCACGTTTAAGCCAACAGTTGTGTATGTACATCATGGATCACACCCATGATGATGCGGGTTAGAATGAACCTTCAGTAACCCATGCTTGTCGATCATAAAAGGCGACTAACGAGATCGGGTGGTCAGGCTCGCTGGCTAGGCTGACACATGTCATCGGTTCCAAATTGCTAAGATCGATGCTCATGCTGTTGATCACTGTATAGTCTGGTCCAGACTCGATTATGTACAGATCGCTGTCATATAGCTGGAATATTGCTGGAATATTGCTGAGTGTGGCTTTAAACAACAAGCAAACAATGCCTCAGAGTCAAATAATAATCCATGATATATAGGTACACGTTATTTCTCATAGGTCCGTCGTTTATATGTTTTCATTTTGAATATTAATGTCTCTCATTATGTATAGGACATTCAAAAAGGAAGTCAAATTCGTTTTCCACATGTAATATAATTGAAAATGTATAATGTTGTCTTGGTGGGGTAGCCTAGAGGTTAAAGGATTCGCTCGTCCACCTGAAGACCGGAGTTCGACTTCCAATATGTGTACACAATTTGAAGACAATTTCACCCTTGCTTATGTTACTGAAATAGAATTAGTAGAGTAAAGCCTCACTCACTCACTCACGATTTTTCTTCAGATCCGGCCTCCTTCATGCCCCTGCTGCTGGCTATAGCAATGGGAACTCTGTTTCTGTTCGTCTCTGTCTTCATCTGGGTAGCTTGTCGACGTCATCGACGACAACGTCAAATACGTCAGCAACAGGAAGTCTCGCTCAGCGTCAACGTACACGGTATTCGCCGAGATTCCGGCGTCAAGTACACACGGAAGGCCTCTACCAATTCTCAGTTAGATGACGCGCCTTCCGCCAAGAAAACAAACAAAGTCGTGAGAACAAATAGCAACCGATCGTGGGCGGTCCGAGCGGAGTTGACGTCAACGACTACAACAGCACCCAGTAATAGTGACGGCCACCCCCGTACCGTGCATAATCTGTACACTCCAATGGAAAAACTGGAAATGCTTAAAGCTAAACAGATGCGTGAAGGTCAAGGTCAAACTAAGGTTGAGAATCAGACCCTGCCACGCGACAGAGTAGGAACGCTGGAGAGAGTGCCGGAGAACACTTTAATGATGAAAATACCCACGTCAGGATTCGAACCCGACCAGGACGATGGTTACCTTGGTCCATCTGTCGCACCCAAAGTAACCACTTCATATCTGCATTGCCCCGTCACTCTCAGTCCTGATCTCAACAACGCCAGGTTTGGTTCAGTTTCTTCAACTGGAAGCTGCGACGGCGGCTACCACAACTTCACCGTCGTCGGCCGTGTAGACCTGGTGTAAACTGTATCTCTACGTGGCTAAGAAAAGCCACCTATCCGTCGAAATGGTTTCTCTTCACGGCCATCCAGATCATCTTGGCTCATTTCGGAGTATTTCCGTAACTGCACGATTAGTTCTGAATGCAACAGGATTTGGACAGGGTTTATCACACCATGGTGTGCGTGTGTATTTTAATCTTATAAAACTGGATTGCACACAATGTAATCGTGACACTGGCCATTAAAACGCCCTTGAAATGCGTCTGATGTCGCCAAGCCAAGGAGTATACCTGGATACGGTAATGGTCAATGTGACGAAATGACGGGAAGCCGCAGTGACGAAGTGACGGGGATGTCTTCTCATATGAAGGCAATAGGCTAAACTACGGCTCCACGTTACCTGGAGGTCAGTACCAAAAGGCTGTCGCTTTAGGGCAGAAACCGTACCATCGCTGGTGAAGTTGCATCTTGGTAAAGAGGACTACAAGTGTCCACAACGTTCAGGACCATGGCATATACTGTTATATCCAATCCGCGGTGTTATAATTGATCGTAAAGTTACCGTTATCTATGTTGAAGGTACCGTTATACTGACAGTGACAAGACGGATGTGTGTGTTTGACGAGGACCTTAAAGGCTGAATAGCAGGTGTTAAATTGTAAATGTACATCAGTATGCCATTCCCTGTGTAATTACTCTTGGATCATTTACCTGTATGATACTTCTTTGTTTCCTTGCTGATAAACTCGACATTCAGCAACATTCAGCAACACCTGGTCCAGTCAATCCAGTGATTGAAATCGTAAGCATAGATCTCCATGGGGATAAGACAACATTCATGAGCCAAGTCAGAAAAGCCCACCGCTTATCCCGTTACGCGCCTGTTACGACAAGTCTAGTTGGTGAAGACCCGGATCTCCACGGACCTGCCTCCACCTACAAACTCTGGTGTGATATCATTGGATGATGGGTCATATGTTTCCCTATGCATTATGTTCGCCAAGGAACAATCGGAGTGGATGTGCTGTGTGTTCACACACGGTTTGAAGTTGAAATCAGTGAAATCCCCGAAAATATTGCTTCAATTATTTAAATTCTCAAGAGAACTCTCAAGCACTCGATCGTCACGCCGAATACCCGGGTTCGATTCCCCACATGGGTACAATGTGTGAAGCCCATTTCTGGCGTCCGCCCTTGCTAAAAGCGGCGTAAAACTAAGCTTATTAAAAGCTGAAATTGTCTCATGTCATTTGTGGTTCTTTGCTTGGTCTGTTTACATGTTTATTGTTCATTATAACTTGTTTATTATTAATCATTGATATGTGAATAAATTTTGAGTCTATTTTTCCAAAATTTCGTCCCCGTTTTCATTGGTTCTCACTTTTCGGTTCTCACTTTTCGAAATATATTCGGTCACAGAAACAATTCCTGCCAGTGACTGTGGTATTACAGATAGACATCGACCGTTACTCAAAGGCAGGAATACCTGAAGTAACATGTGACTTGAGTTCTGGATGGTAATATGAGTGGTCCAGCATTATAAATCAATCTCCCTCTCTTCATCTCTTGATCTCTCCTCCGATCTCTTTCTCGCCATAGCTCGCTGGGCCAGACCCAGATTCGATTTTACATACGGTTACAATGTGTGATGCCCATTTATGGCACATCACGTCGTGATATTGATGGAATGGTACTAATAATCCCCCCAAACAGAGATTGAAATACCATATAATAACACTGATAAAACACATGACACGTGAAAAAATATAGCGTTTATTGTTAAATGGCGGACTCTGAGTGACTGACAGCCTCCGTGAACACTACCAACAACAAGACTCTGGTTGAATGTACAAAACCACAGTCCATATTGGCCATCGGGCCATGCCTTCTGCGCATGAGCAGTTTACAGCAAGGCCGTCATAGAGTGTAGCAAGGGAGGAGGTCAAATACCCGGGGAGCCAAAACAGGCGCAGCTAGAGATTTTTAGCAAGGACCATATATGGGTGAATGGAATGAATGAATTATTAATCAACATAACCAAAGAACGTTGATAGCACAAACAGACAAAGACTATAAGATGATGTCACAGTAATCTCAGGATTGGAATATGTGTTAAGTTTATGTAGGCTACTATCATCCAGTGATGTACTGCAGCTGGTGATAAAGATTATCTAAATATATCAAGCGTCGCTGCAGCATTTGAAAAAGCGGAAGTGAATTTGTGATTTGGCAATTTCCGTAAACTAACCGTGTAATTTTTTTGGAAGGTTCAAATAACTTAGTCACAGTTTTAAGCTGAGTACACCTGATCACCTGTGTGTATTGAAGTCGAGTACACCCACATTAATCCAACATCCCACATCCACCTTATAGCCTCATCTTTGACAGATACACATCTGGGGCCGTGTATGAATTTTGCCACGGCGTCGCCTGATCAAATGACAGTAAGTTGTCCTCTAGTTACAAATAAACAACGTCAGTAGCTGTATAACTTCAATGTTTGCACTAGTTTCCTATGGTACCTAAAAATACACTATAAGGACAGATGTTTAGCACATCCGGTTCTGGACTTCCGGTTACTCCGGGGCACCTAATGAGTTCAATTTACTAAAAACACAATGCCAATAAATAAATAGAAAGAAACAGTTGATTGGGACAAATGTATCACATTTGAATAATATGTTCAAGTTATTTTTGTTTCTTTTTCTCTTCCTCTTTCTTCTTCGCCTCCTCTCTGACTTTCATTTTGTTGTGTATAATTTGGAGCTCAGTTTCTGCTTTCGCGTTCCACTCGTCAGGGATCCAGGGACCTGTCCAACATTAGCTCAACCAGCTCTCTCAGATCCATGGGTTCAACATCCGGCCGGAACCGGAAGAGTGGGCGGCCATTGTGGTCAATGAGAAACTTCTCGAAGTTCCATGAAATGTCGTTCACCTTGATAGGATCCCAAAATGACTCGCTTCTGTCGTAAGAAGCGTCCAGAGGAACAGGACAAGAATCCTGAAACAAAATTAAGGTGTTGATGAGAAGTAAAGGTGAAGTCGGACGAAATTATTACAGACTACCATTAAATGTCGACATACCCCGAGGTGTTCAGAACTGTGATGTAATGTGATATCCTCGCGTAACCCATTGTACGACTTTGAGGCCATTCACCTTCAGGTCCCTGTATACTGTCTGTTGAGTATATCAATGTGGACTCACCTTCAGGTATCTGTAGATTGTCTGTTGAGTATATCAATGTGGACTCACCTTCAGGTATCTGTATGCTGTCTGTTGAGTATATCAATGTGGACTCACCTTCAGGTATCTGTAGATTGTTTGTTGAGTATATCAATGTGGACTCACCTTCAGGTATCTGTAGATTGTCTGTTGAGTATATCAATGTGGACTCACCTTCAGGTCCCTGTAGATTGTCTGTTGAGTATATCAATGTGGACTCACCTTCAGGTATCTGTGGACTGTCTGTTGAGTACATCAATGTGGACTCACCTTCAGGTATCTGTAGAGGGGCTGTTCGTCCTCGCCATTGACGTGAATCTTCATGTGTAGTGTGAAGTGAGGCGTGTAGTTCATGCCGGGGCGGACATACCGGAGTCCAGCTAGTAACTCAGTCTTGTTGGCGCCTGGTTCCTGGTGTGCGAACTGGTCACAGGGGAAGCCCACGATAGAGAAAGATGACTCCATGAAATTATCAGCTAGTACATTCAACTGCCAGTACTGAGGGGTAAACTCTGTGGACATTGAAGTGAGTGAGTGAGTCAGTTTACTTTTGCGCTGCTTTTAGCAATATCTAGCAATAACTTTCCATGTTTAATGTCAGTCATGGTTGATCATTAACGTAATGTTACAAAACCTTGAAAGTATGAAAGTTTACCCATCAAGTCCTTTCTCATAAAAATCAGTTGAGTCTGGTATGCAATATCTTAATCCAATTCTTGACGTAAATTTAATACTTCTGGACTTTGGGGACTTAGAAACATATCGGTAATAGCCATATGGCTTAAACTGCTAAAAGCTATATTTCTATCTCGAGTATCAATGGTTTTGGAAACATTTTTGAAAATTATCAGATATAATAGTTGAAAAATGTATTTAAAATAAAATTGATGTTATTGATAATTTTGAAAGAAAATGGCCAGCACAGTTATAAATAGTTACGAGTGCAATGGAAGAAAGCCTCCTGTTCTTACACTGAATGAGTGAGTGAGTGAAGGTTCACTGCGCTTTTAGCAACTTTTTAGCATAACACGGCAGGGGACACCAGAAATGGGCTTCACACACTGTCCATGTGGAGAATCGAACCCATGTGACCTGCGAACGCTTTAACCATGAGGCCACCACACCGCCCCTCTTACTCTGGATATCATTTAAATGCGTTGTATGTATGCCTACCGGATTTTATAGAAATATATTAATAAGATAAATAATACCATCAGCCATATGTTACAACACTTGTTATTATGCCGAGTGACAATACATTGTTGTATACAGTAGCTAAATTGTATACAGGTAATAAACAGGTAACCCAGGGCATTGGAGCATGTACTGTAGGCAGCTGTATCTCGAGCCTTCCGGTAATTAGATTGAATGGTTTAATATGTGCATGTTTGGGTTTTTGGGTTTTTAGTCGGACAGTTATTGAACAATTGTGGATGTGAATTATATCATCAAAATGCTGACCAAGACTTTTTGTAATGCACAGCTGCATATTTGAGTTACAGACATGTGACATTGATGACGATTACTTACATATTGCTATATGAAGGTTCTCTCTAGTTCTCAGTGACTACATCTAGTCAGGTGTGCAGTATTTACTATACACAGGTAGACAGACACACATCTGTCTGGTGGGCAGTATTAACTATACACAGGTAGACAGACACAAGTCAGGTGGGCAGTATTTACTATACACAGGTAGACAGACACAAGTCAGGTGTGCAGTATTTACTATACACAGGTAGACAGACACAAGTCTGGTGAGCAGTATTTACTATACACAGGTAGACAGACACAAGTCAGGTGGGCAGTATTTACTATACACAGGTAGACAGACACAAGTCAGGTGGGCAGTATTTACTATACACAGGTAGACAGACACAAGTCAGGTGGGCAGTATTTACTATACACAGGTAGACAGACACAAGTCAGGTGGGCAGTATTTACTATACACAGGTAGACAGACACAAGTCAGGTGTGCAGTATTTACTATACACAGGTAGACAGACACAAGTCAGGTAGACAGACACAAGCAGGTATTTACTATACACAGGTAGACAGACACAAGTCAGGTGGGCAGGTAGACAGACACACTATTTACTATACACAGGTAGACAGACACAAGTCTGGTGGGCAGTATTTACTATACACAGGTAGACAGACACAAGTCAGGTGGGCAGTATTTACTATACACAGGTAGACAGACACAAGTCAGGTGTGCAGTATTTACTATACACAGGTAGACAGACACAAGTCAGGTGGGCAGTATTTACTATACACAGGTAGACAGACACAAGTCAGGTGTGCAGTATTTACTATACACAGGTAGACAGACACAAGTCAGGTGGGCAGTATTTACTATACACAGGTAGACAGACACAAGTCAGGTGGGCAGTATTTACTATACACAGGTAGACAGACACAAGTCTGGTGTGCAGTATTTACTATACACAGGTAGACAGACACAAGTCAGGTGGGCAGTATTTACTATACACAGGTAGACAGACACAAGTCTGGTGGGCAGTATTTACTATACACAGGTAGACAGACACAAGTCAGGTGGGCAGTATTTACTATACACAGGTAGACAGACAAAAGTCAGGTGGGCAGTATTTACTATACACAGGTAGACAGACACAAGTCAGGTGGGCAGTATTTACTATACACAGGTAGACAGACACAAGTCAGGTGTGCAGTATTTACTATACACAGGGAGACAGACACAAGTCAGGTGGGCAGTATTTACTATACACAGGTAGACAGACAAAAGTCAGGTGTGCAGTATTTGCTATACACAGGTAGACAGACACAAGTCAGGTGTGTAGTATTTACTATACACAGGTAGACAGACACAAGTCTGGTGTGCAGTATTTACTATACACAGGTAGACAGACACAAGTCTGGTGGGCAGTATTTACTATACACAGGTAAACAGACACAAGAAGCTCTATGTGCATGGCAGTGGTAGTGGTTTCTGTGTTGGTACCCTGAACCAGGCTCTTACGCAACGCACAAATGTGCATCTTGTTTGCTCAATTGTTGAGAATGGGCACAGAAAACCCAAAATATCACTTCTGGAGAGAGGCACAAAAATACCGAGAACGTACCTTTAATGCATTATTACAGTGCATATATTTCTTCATACATTTTTATATTTTTCACAAATTATTCATAACAAAGAAAATCCGTATACGTTCAAGTCGCAGTGCATAGTGTATCTTCTTTATAGCCCCGCATGGCAAGCGCAGTAGTAGGCAATTAGCAAACGCGTCCACGCCAACCTTAAACTAATTTATCAAAGATGAAGCTAGCGAGCTGTGTCGGCTCCGGCCCTTCTTCTCGGGTACATCCCTTGGTCAAAGCACAGATAAGTAGTCCCATCCCAGCAGGAGCATGTCTACCACCAACTAAGTCGTAATCGAAAATCAACTTTTGTTGAACAAGATCGAGATTACCATCATGCCATCCTCTTTGTCCTGTCGTAAATGCCATGGTCAGGCACTGACAGATATTTTGTTAAGCAGCTGGCGCAAGCTGACCGTGGTCCTGTAGAATTCTGCCATTCTACTTGGACGACGCTGCAAAGGTATGGTTTCTCTGCCTGCCTGAAACCACACAACGCGACATGCAGTCACTGAAGGCAGCCTTCAAACAACGTTTTCGGCGCTCCTTTGACGTGGTTCTTCTACACATGCCACAGAAGGAGCAGGAAACGATAGAAGACTACATCACCAGGGTGCAATCATCCATGTTGCACTCCACATTGCCACAATCTGTGATAGTAGCTATTGCAATCAATGGGCTACTCCCACAGATTAAGCAGTGGGTGTACACGAAGGAGCCAGCAACCCTGGACGAGGTTCGCCACCAGGCACAGCTGGCTGCACAGTCGCAGGCTCCCAGCACAGCAGAGGTCGGCTTGGTCCAACAAGTTGAACAATTAACAAACTTCGTGGCCATGCTGATCACAACAAACAGGGCCTGTGCTGTACAGTCAGCAACTCTTTCAACTGGTCTACAGCAGCAAGAGCCCTGGGAACACCACCACAGACAACAGACACCTTCCCCAGCAACACAGCAACAGTACCAACCACCACAACCAGCACCACAGCAGCAGCAGTACCACCCATCACCACACCACCACAGCAGCAGCACCACAGCAGCCAATACCAACCACCACTATCACTACCACCACAGCAACAGCAGCCGTACCAACCACCACCACCACAGCAACAACAACACCAGCCATCTCCACAGAAGTACCACCCAGCACCAAACCAGTATCAAGCCTCACTTCATCAACCATACAGCTCAGTGCAGCAACACCCACCACCCAGCCCCAGCAGCCGACTATCGACTCCACAGCACCTTCAAGGCAGATGTCGCAGATGTGGTGAGTTTTTTCGGTTCCCTCACAATTGCCCTCATAGAAACACAATATGCAGCTACTGTGGTTCCATAACCTACATCACTCACTCATCTTAGGCATTGACTTCCTTGAGTCCAACAAAGTCACCATAGACCTGCCCTCAAAGTGCTTACACATACACGAAGGTCTTGTGTCTGTCTCTCTGGCATCAATCAATGGAGGTTATGTAAGGCCATACAAATCTGTTGTCATTCCCCCACACTCTCAAGCTGACATTCCCATCAAAATTTCTCATTGTCAACAAGGTCAAGTTTTTCTCTTGGAACCCGTCCCAACGCTGAATGACATGGAGCTCCAAGGTGCCAAATGTCTCATAACAAACCATCCCAAATCAGTTTGCATGAGATTACTTAATGCAAGTGACAGCCATGTCACACTGTTTTCTAAAACTGTCATTGCTGTTGCCTCAGAGATTGACCCTACATCTGTCCTTGACCTCCCTGACGCGTCTGATTCTGACTCTCCTTCTACAAGTGCTAACACAACACATTCATTAAGACATTGAGTTTGATCTCAGCGATGCTGATCTCACACAGGAACAACGAAAACATTTACATGCATTTCTACAATCACAAAGGTCTGTTTTGCCACAGATTTGTCAGATTTAGGACACACTCTCACTTACATCATCACAAAATAGATACAGGTGATGCCAGACCCATTAGACTCCCTTTTTACAGGCAAAATGCAGCCATTAGGAAAGAATGCTCTAGACAAGTACAAGAAATGTTAGAAGCTAATATCATTCAGCCTAGTTCTTCTGAGTGGCACTCTCCTGTTGTCATGGTTAAAAAACGTGACTCTTCTTACCGTTTTGCCGTAGATTATAGACGCCTCAATGCAGTTACCAAGCCCATATTTTTTCCTCTACCACGTTTTGAAGATGTTGTTGATGCTGTAGGCGATAGCCATGCCAAATTTTTTAGTGTTCTTGACTGTGCTAGTGGCTTTTGGCAAATACCACTTCACCCCGAAACAAAACACAAATCAGCATTCATTACACCTGATGGCGTGTTTGAATGGAATCAGCCCCCTTTGGTCTCAAAAATGCCCCAATGGCTTTTCAGCAAACAATTTCAGAGGCACTAAAAGAAATGAATTGGCGCTACATA